TTAATAGCTAAAAACCGAACGATTTGCGGACATATGTTTAATGGACTTTTTGTCCTTGTTTTGATGAGAAGAACCCGCCCCCAAAGATTGTAAAAGTATTTTTCACACAGCTTGTGTATATATATATATATATATATATATGATATTAGTGGAAAATATACATACATATGCAAAATATATAAATACCCATACATGTATATTTTTAGAAAAAAAAATTCCAAGAGGAAGAATCCAGGTAGAACTCAATGTCTAGGACAGAGTAAGGATATAATAAAAAGGCTTAAACACTAATATTCCATGGTCATAATTTATTCCATTGGAATCGTAAATACGATCGAATTCATCAGACCTACAAATTCAAAAAGAAAACAGAAAAAAACCAACTCCGGAAATAAAAACAGAATTTAGAGAGAGTGTAAGTATGAGGAGGAAGGAGATTAAACCATAACAGAGAGAATTTTAGGAGAGGTGGGTGGAAGGGGTTTAATTAAGAGAAAAAAATGAATGTTGACGGATGTCTAATGCATAAAGATACATTTCGTGGGCACATACACACACCATAGATAATCTAATGTTATAATAAGAAGGGGGGAAAGACGAGGTGGGGGAGAGAGATGGGACGAAGGAAAGTAAAATTGCGTTTACTTTTAAAGGGCCGCTTTGTAATTGAGAAAATTTGACAAATTTAATATCGACTACAGGTTACAAATCAAATATAAATATATTAAGATAAATATAACTATTATCTAATCCAGCAAGGACCTATATTTCTATGTTCAAAAACACATTCGAATACACACAATAACATATATACATACACATAGGCGTGTACCCACATACACACATACATATACCCATGTACACACATAAAAATATATTCACATATCCACACATATTCATCTATATCCATATACGCATACTTTTCACATATGAAAGCATTTTCAGAATTTCGAAAATTGATCCTACTCAAAAATATTTTTTGGAGGTGTCAGGTTTTACTAAGTCCAACAGAAATTTTAATTTATAAGTAAATCCAAAATCCACTAGAGTAACATATTTGACTAACACAATGTATTCCATAAACCTGAATACATTATTCAGGTTTTTTATAATACATTATTCAGGTTTTTTATTTTACCTGCTTTTCTTTCTGCTCCTTGATATCCTACAACCTTCATTAGTCCATTATTTACGTTATTCGGACTATTGTCCTCATCTTTGTCGCCATATTTATTACAACGTTTCGGCCGTTGTACGCACCGGCCTTCTTCAGGTGGTTGGAATGTCGAACTGAAACCTTTATTTCGCTCACTGGGGTAGACTGTTCTAGTTCCACGTGCCATGTTTAATGGATATCAGTTATCTCCTGTTAATTGCCATCTGATATGCCTTCACCGGGTATTGAACTCACACTCTTTGGTTCCTGTGACTGGATCTAACTAACGCCTTTATCCACTGTGCCATGTGTCCTTCATTAGTTTTTCAACCACTGATTTTAACTTTTCTATAGTTTTAGTTTTACCATCATTTACAGCAGTTTTTGTTAGTTGCCATAGATCTTTCCTTGAATATTATTTTTCCATTCTAACTTATCTCTTTTAATAATGAAACAAATGTGTTCTGGTCCGGGAGTAGAGGCGTTGTATTCATTTGGTGTCTTTGAAACTTGTTTTTCTTTTGGGTAAGCTTTGCAGAATAAGAAGGATAATTGTATTGAATAGATAAACTCTTCAGCTGTAACCTATACTGTTGAAAATCATGTTATTTAGCATAATTCTTTGCATTTCTCTTGGACAATTTGGAAGGACTTCTTCTAGATTTTGCCATTAAAGCATTTTCAAAATTTCAAATTTTGTCACTTTCACAAATCCAGATTTGAGTTTCAACCCACCTTTTGATAATCCTTGATATAATCAGGAAAACATTATAAAAATTTCGAATTAATTATGATTCTTCTTTCAAACTTCAGGACTTAAGAAATTTCGTACCAAATTCAGGACTTCGGAATCTAACACTTAAAATTCTGGATACATTCTTGAAAGCATTTTCTAAAAATCGGATTTTTTCAGGAAACCACTTTAAAAATTCCGAATTTATTCAAGAAACCATTTTCGAAATTCTGGTTTTCCCAGGAAACCATTATCATAATTCCGGATTTACTCGATAAACAACTTTCCAAATCCAAGATTTAATCATGAAAAATTTTTGAAAATTCATAATTTATTTTGAACACAAATCAAAGAAAATATGTTAATTGGCTAAGGATGTACAAATGAAAAGATTTGAAATAGACAACTTTTTCCATTTCAGTGAAACAGACGTTAAATACTTGTATCTTTCCTTCTTGCTTTAATTTTCTCACTGAAACCAAGTAGCGTCTTTGATGTCTTTTGCCTTCTGTTGCAATAAAAACGGAATAGTCGATTATTTATGAGATATTGGCAGGGCGTAACGGCCGTGTAAACTAATGAAGTGGGGGGGGAACAAGCAGAATTTTTATATGATTTCGGATTTGTTATCCTCACTCATCCTTCTAGTTATTATTTCAAAATGTCCCCTATTCTTCTTTTTACGAAAAATTCTCTCGCCTCCCTCTCGATTTCTTCTCTATCACCCCTCCCTCTCTCCTACTCTCTATCACCCCCTCCCTCTCACTCTCTCTCACTCTTTCCCTATTTCGTTTCTGATTCTTTGTTTCCCTGCTTCTTTTCAATTTTTATCTCTATCACCCCCCCTCTCCTCCCCTCTATATTTCTTCTCTATCACCCCCTCCCTCTCTCCTCTCTTTCCCTATTTCGTTTCTGATTCTTTATATGTTTCCTTCTTCTTTTCAATTTTTATCTCTATCACCCCCTCCCTCTCTCCTCCCTCTCTATTTCTTCTCTATCACCCCTCCCTCTCTCCTCTCTCTCACTCTTTCCCTATTTCGTTTCTGATTCTTTATATGTTTCCTTCTTCTTTTCAATTTTTATCTCTATCACCCTCTTTCTTATCGCCATTCCTTCTCTCTCCATCTTCCTCGCTCAGTCTTCCTCTTTTTAGCTTTTCCTTCTCATTTCTTTCTCTCTTCCTCTTAATTTTTGGATTATCGATACAAGCGAGGAAAAAATTCCTTCTTCCGATTCTTTTGTAAGAAATCTTTTCCGTACAAAAACATTTGTTTCTGTTCTTTTTATTTCTTTTTGTATTTGTGTTTTTTAAGCAAATTCATTCGGTGCGTGTTGGTCACGCTTAACCTGAATCGTCAGTCGAACAAAGAAATGCCAAACTCGACAAAAATATATTTCATACGAAAATAAAATTCTACAAAAAATATTTCACACGAAATAAGGCATAATATCGATGCCGAAAGCCGGAATCGAACCCGGGACCGTTAATGTACTGAACTTTCTCGGCTGATGATCGGTCGTCTTTTACTCAAGTCTCTCAGACGCGAATAGTCGACGTTGGAAGGTTAGAACTAATAAAGATGGCGGCGAAAGGAAGTGAAGAAGGAAATTGGTTTACAGGAAGAGAAACCGAAGGCAAAGTACTGACAACAGTTGTAGAAATTATAGAGAGTGGGGAAAAGAGAGAGGAAGCATCAAGATAGAAAAGAGAATGAGAGAGAGAGAGAAAGATCAAAGACGAGACGGGGATAGAGAGAGGGAAGAAATAAAACGAAATAAGAGAAATGAAAAACAGAAATATAATTGGTTATATATATATATATATATATATATTGTGTGTGTGTGCGTGCGTATGTGGTGTACGCGCGTGTGACATGTTGAAAAAAGCAACGCGATAATGAGCCTAAACATTTTTCTATTTGGGAAACGGGCAGAATGGATCTTGCTCTAATGAATTCATGTCTGGGGTGCAGACACATTGGGATAAGGGGGGTGGCCTTGAAATGTCAGCAAACTTTGCCGTTTTCGGAACTCCTCAAAGTTATCAGCCGACACCAAACGCACGAAATAGCCGGGCCACCAACATTTCAGTTCAAGCACTTAAATTTGATGTGGAAAGCAGACCAAAATGGCGACAGTCAAGTGATGTCTGCTATCCCTGTGGCTTTCTTTGAACAGTCTACTGAACCGGAGGTCGAGAGGATCGGATGCTGCAGAAAAAGTACCCCGGGTAGAATCGGTGAGGTTAACCAACACACATTAGAACAAAAACTGAAAAAGAAAATTGATTCCTATTTTATTTCAACAATTTTATCCTTACCTGGCGTCTGAAGCCTTCCCTACCCACACATAATCTACAGAGGAAGCTTGAGCAATTTTTGTCCCTAGCAAATTTTTGTATGAGTGGGCTCCTACTTTAAACTCGATTTTGTATTACAATCTTTTGGGAAAATTAATTACAGGCTAAAATCGTTATCTTCCACTCCTATACACACAAATGGCCCCACAAACGTAACCCTCTACCACGATTGTCCCCCGGGTCTTGTAAAGAGTGAACCACGCTGTAAAAGATAAAAAAAGGAAAAAAAAAAAAAAGAAAGAAGCTAGCTATGTTTAGCCAAAATGAACACTGTCTAAAACTGTCATGAAATATACAATTTTCTGATATTCAGCTTTGTGTTGTTCATAAAATATATAGCAGAACCATTTCATATAATATAGTGATTTTCCAAGAGTAGTTTATAGGTGGCACAAGGCAGTAAGTATGGGGCATCCAGTGAGGATCGAACTCACTACTCAGTCGTAATTGTCCTAGCAAGACAAGCTTGCTAACCATTACACCGCCTCGAGGTGCCCAAATTCCATATAATATAGTGTAACACTCATGGTTTCGTTTGGTTTGTTTTATGGCATATCAACCTCAATGTATTATTTAATGCCGACAAGATTTTTATTGCTGGTAATATTTTTTTCCGAAAATATATTGTTGGTAAAAAAATTTCCAAAAAAGTATTGCTGGTATTAAAACCTATTTTTATACTTCATAGTATTTTGGAAGGTTAACTATTTGCCCATACTTAGGACCCTGATAGGTGCCACCACCCCGGGTCAGGGTAGACTTAGGAACACCAGTAATTAAGAGGTGCTTCCACGCTCCTCAAAACCTTCTGATAAAAGGTCTTGTTGCCAGGTGTAGTTTATCGTCTTATCCATGACGCGGATGTAGTTTATCGTCATACCCAGTACGGGTAAATCTCATGGTTATAATACATCAACCAAAATAAAATGTACATCTATGTACTCCTTTGTTTTGTGATGACTATGCTTAAACATGGCTCACCTTACAGGTGTTACTTCTTAAACAGTAGGGCTAACTGTAACTCAAGAAATATTCAAGACATCAAAATAAATTTGTTATATTCTGCTTAAAAATAATATTAATCTCTTTAAAATGAGAATATATTTTTATACTTGCTTTTATTCAAACGTTACCTACCATTGCTTACTATACGAAACATTATTACAAGGCTATTTTCTTTAAACTGCTGCTCACTTCATCTGTGGACACACCTCGACAGATTTGCCGAACAAGCAATCGACGCCATGCTGTGATTTTTTTTAAAAAAAAGATAGTTTGTCAGTTCTTTTGACCGAAACTGCCATGGTCGGGGTATGCTCACAAAGGGATGAAGTAGAGGGAAAATTCACATGGATGCCCCAAAGATAACCATAGTCACTCTTTGAAAAAAAAAGAAAAAAAGAAGCTACCTTTATTGCTTCGACAGCCCCTCCAAAGGGAGGTGGTGCATGTCACACGACATGGCAACCGATGGATGCTCTGTACAGCCTGACGCCACTTTTCGTACAACCTGATGAAACGCCGATCTTCTTTCTGAGAAATCTTATTTTATATAAGTGGCCACACTGCCTGAACAATCGCACATCTGATCTTTGTTCGATCTGCTACGTGCCGATTTAAAAAATTAAATAGCCAATAGGTTTCCCTTCGGTCACTAATAGTGTCTTTTAACCAATAGAACGTTCGCATTCTGATCATGAGACCCAGGTTCGAATCATACTAGGGGTGGGGGCGATCTTAGCGTGCGGCATTTTTGGAAAGTGACTGAAAACCATACCACGGGTTGACCCAAGCCTTGTGAGTAAAATTGGGTAGATGGAACGAAGCACGAAGTCACAAGTCATAGTGGCCGATCAGTTTCGATCGATATATATATATATATATATAGAGAGAGAGAGAGAGAGATGTACTGTTTCCGCAATAGAAGTTGAGTCGCTTGGGCAAGATAGGCTGACGGAGCCCAACCCTCTTCAGGCCGGTTTTGAATTCAGAAAGCCGGTTGGCACACAAGGCTATAGAACACAGTTTACCCTGGTATTTACACATAGCTTGAGAGAAGAAGTGGGTTTGTCGGAGTTAGCTCCTCCTTAACCTTCACCAGGGGTCTCTCTCCCCTGGCTATAAATACTGGCTGACCCTTCGCCTCTTCCTCTTTTTCCTCAGGCCTTCAGCCTTATACCACCTCGCAGATGTGAGCTCTCACAGATACAGCGTTTACCAAATTCTGGCAACACGCTAAGAACAATACACGTACGTACGAACACTCACCACAACACACACACACACACATAATATTCACCACACGCACTCTGTCCATGTAACTTGTAACCTTTAACTTGTTATTAATACATATATTTGTTTACATATATTTATCGGTCTTGTTTGTTTTTCTTTGGACTTAATTAAAGTTCAACTTTCTCATGTGGTTGGACCGGCTAGCAGGAAATTCTACCCACATGTGTTCTTCTACAATACATACTCATCACCACCACGGTCCGCATCTTTCACAAGTGAATTTAATTAATCCGACTGTAATTCGAACTCGGCTCTGCGATTCCTCAGTCATATATATATATATATATATATATATATATATATTACAATGAATCATTCATGATATAATATAAAATGCCGAAAACTCTTTGCAAACAAAATTTTAAAGTTGCATTGACCTACGAACCATTCGATGAAAGTTAGGATTATAGTGTTTCGTACGTTAATACACCTTTAAAATGTTGTTTGTGAAGAGTTTTCGCCATTTTATATCATTAACTTTACTAATCTACTTTTTGTATGAATGATTCATTGTAACATAAACTGAACTGCACCACATATTTGATATATAAAACAACTGTGTATTATAAACGGCAGTTTAACACATCAACTGCACCCTCTCTATATTCCTATTAATTTACAAACCATTTAATTAGAGAGGAATGCGACAATTGGATACAGCAGAAAGATTTTGCCATGATCACAAGTGGACGAAAGAAAAGAATCATGCTTACTCAGCTGTGGTTCAAGGATTTCAGGGGAAAAACAAGAAGTCATATAGTGATCAAGTTATTTCAGAAATTCAACATCAGGAAGAGACAGTTGAAATTTCTGTGGAACATAATAAGGAAGGAGGGCTTGGAAAATCTGTAACTCGCAGGACGAATTGAGGGACAGAGGAAAACAGCGTGTACCATCAAGTGAGCTTAAGTAAATGGATGGTGGAACAGGGTTTCGAAATAACAAAAATTTTAGAGCTGCAAAGGACAGGAAATTGTGGAGAGCCGTGATCGCCTACGTCCTGAGGAGAGACGAAACGTAAAGAGAGGGGATGTCAGTAATGGAATGTATAGGACTGGGGAGGACATTCTCTTTGATCATAATATTGGATCCAGTCATGAAATGGCCAATTCCTCTCGAAAGTCAAGACGATTTTGTTCGTTTTGAACCAAATTAAGGAACGGCAAAATTTGTTCTTATTTTGATATTTTCTGATCATGTGAGTTAGGGAACAATGGCTACGAATATTTCAAGTACCAAAATGAATTTTTGTTCAATAAAAACCTTTCAAATAGCGGCTATACCTCTATCGCCAAAATTTGTCTTCAAAATAAGAAACGCGTCTTGTACTCTGGCGCGTGTTATATTCCCCAAAATACGGTAGATTGAAATCTCAGGAATCTACTTTGCTTATTAGTAAATAAATTGTTGTTTTAAGAAATTCTGTAAGAGATATGTCGACCTTCATTTACGGATGAAAGATATATTGATGACAACTTGTTAATTAAACATGGGATGTTGTAAATGGAGATACTGACTACGCCGGAAACAAAATCAATTACGGAGACGAACCAACACAAAAAAAAAATTAAATTAAAATAGCAGCAGATA